GAGGGGAAAAAGTGAGCAAAGAAAAAAAAAAAAAAAAAAAAAAAAGGCCAACGCAAAGGCCAAAGGATGATGTGTAGGCACTAGGCAATCTTGGTCTCATGAAAAAAGAGACTGTTTTTGCAACTAGATCCCATAACCACAAATTCACAAGGTAACCTTAAGGTTGAGCCAATAAGAGTTTAAATATACTTTTCCCATAAACTCCAAAAGTTCATTGTTAGCCTCTCCACGCGCAGCAGGAGCAGCAACAGTGACTCGAACATCATCAGCATTTACTCCTGACTCATGAGGGTAAGAAAGTTACAAACCAAATATATGCCTTATGAACAATGGATGTATATTGTAAGCATGGCATTATGTAGATGTTGTAATGATTGAGGAATTTATTATTTGGTAACTTTGAATTGTATCATTTTCAGACTTATTCTAAAGAAAGAGAAAGTAAAGAGGTATAAAGGGTACTGGTGATTGCGGAACGTTGTGCACGATCTTCGACTTCAATAGCAACCTGAACAAGACCTCCTTCAAGCTGGGATATGCAGGGGGGAACGGGAGCATCCTAAAGAAAAGAAGGAGTGAGTGGTCGTGGAGTAAGAGAAGAATGAGTGAGGTTAGTAGTACCTGAGGGTTGGTTTCCGCAGCAACAGTACTGAGGGCACCATCAAGAACATATACGAAAGAGGAAGAATCGAAATCTTGGTCGGCGCGGTAGCAGACGAAGAGACCGCAGCCCATACAGTTCATGCGGAATTGTTTCTCCAATTTGCCCTCTCCTCGTTTCAAGAGAACCTTCCCTGCTTCCTCGATGTTGAAGCGGGCCAGATGTTTGGTCTTGTCCAGCACATAAGCTTTGTCAGTTTTTCTTTTCGGCATTTTCTGCAATTGGGTGTCTTGGAGAAGAGAAGAATTGCGTTAGCGCTCACAAAAAGAGGGAAAAGATAATTAGATTGGATTACCAGTAATGAGGACATGGGAACCGCAGTGTTTGCAGTAGTAAACAAAGAGATCCGAGTGTGGACCCTCCGGAGCCGCATCCTCGCTCGAGTATGTGTGCGTTGTCCTCTTCGGCATCTTCTCAGTTCTCACTCTCTATGCCTGCTACCTGCTACTGCTTGCTTCTTCGCTCTTATTCCACTCCCATTCAACACCGCCCAATACTCTCGGCCTGGCCCACTAACTTCCCTTGGCCCAATAGCCCCTTCTATTTCTATTTTATTTTATTTTTTATTTTTTATTTTTTATTTTTTATTTTTTATTTAAAAACACAATGGTAATGCCTAATGTCCCACAACCAGACTCTCATAACTCATACCAACTATTTAATTTTAACAGCCAACTACAGAAATCTGTCTCAATAGAATCAGAGAAGAGGTTGTCATCCACTAAAAATGGTTTCAGGATTTTTGAAAATAAATAAATAAACTTGATGCGGTTATAATTACATTATATGCCACTGCATTTTCAGACTTATTTCTATTTTCTTTAAAAATCTTGAAAATTATTATTTTTTATTTAAAGTTTTTTTTCATATTTTATTTGAAATTATTTTCTAAACTACAACAAGTATGTTTTCTATACTATTATTAATTTTCAATGAAAATAGTCAAACCAATCATTCACTTAACTATCTTCCTTCCCCTACTTTCTGCGAATTGAGGGAGGAGGTTTTTATGTGTGATTTTCATAATAAAATCCTTTCTTTTTTTATTAAAAAAAATACTTTCTTCCTTGTCAATACATCAAAAAATAATAATGAAATTTTGGTATTTTTATTTTAGTTTTTTTTTTCTATTTCTCTCATTTTTTTTATTAAATAAAATAAAGGTTAAATGCTTTGGAAAAAAATAAAAACTATTTAATTATATCAAATTAATTTATCAATAATCAATAATGTATATAATTTTTTAGAAGTATCTTCATTTTCCTGAAAATATTGAATATAATATAGCATTAATTATTATATTTATTAAATACATCATAATTATTGATTTAATATATTTAATGATAATATATGTATATTAAATATATAATTTATTAAAAGCTTAAATATGTTTAAACTTTTTACAAGGTTGTAATTAGTTTTAGTCGAAAATTGTCATTTTTACATTCTTAAAATTTTATTACCATTTTATTTAATACCAACCATTAATCTTAGATTCTTAGTTAGTTTAGTATTGACAAAAAAAAATAAAGAATATTAAGATAATTAAGATAACATAGAATATTTTAAATTAAATTAATTATATTATTTTTAGATACATTATTAAGATAACAAAAAAAAACTATATAATTATTCTTGGCATCATTCGAAGTTCATATATAAACAATTGTTAATGAATCATATTAAAATGATTCACATCTTGCTTAATTAAATGATGCAATGTGGAACTATAGGCCTATAGCCAAACACATAAGGGGTTGTAAGTTTGAAACAAAGATAAAGATCCAATAACAACTGACAGGCGAGACCCATTTGTCTGCATAATCGCCTTCTTGCACTGTTGCACACCATTATGATAATAGTTGATTTGTACATATAATTGACATTTTTAGGTCAACCATAAATATTGTTTATGATTACTATAAGAAACATATATTTTACGCTACTGTAAGAGGTAGACACGAAAGATGACTACCTCTCTTATTTACTTTTCTCTCAAACTGTTTTTCATATCATATATGTTTAACATTTGCTGCTAGCATTGAGTAATAAATACAAACACAATATATTATACTTAGCAATCCAGGACGATAGCTTTAAATCAGCTGAGACTTTCCATTTCCTTTAGAGCTCCAAGACCAAGTCTGAAATAATAAAAATAATTAAATAAATAATCTGAGTCAGGATTGAAAAGAAACAAGACAATAAACTGAAAGTGGTGGGTGTTATTACTCTTTATATATATATAATGTATAACTTGGTGAACAAGTCTTTCGATCTCTCTTCTCTTTTGATTAGACATTTTCGTTATTCTTTTCATTTCTCTATATTTCATTTAGAGATACATTTTACATACTACTCTACCGATTAGTGATAAAAACATTTTTTCTCTACCATTATTTTATATTATATCTATATATAATTTATTTTAATAGTATTTTTACATCACAATGTATTTAAATTTAAAATATATTTTATAATATTATATACTAGGAGTGTAAGTTTTAATTATAAAACTGTTTACATACTTATATCTTTTTATTTATTATAAATTTCAGTTATATAAAATAAATATTTATCCTATTAAATATACAAGGTAAAATACCAATTATTGTTGAAAACGAGCAATTGAGAGAATGCATGTTTGGTAGCACGTTAAGTTCAACAATGTGATTTACGGAAATAACTAGTAGTTGTTTTTACTGTGATTTTACGTTGATTGTATAATTTTCTACCATCAATCCAGACCCAGTAAAATTCTGTATGTGATTGATGTTTTATATGACGAAGTTTTGATGTGGATGAGTGAGATTGATGTATGAATAATTGTATATTGTAAATATACTTACAATCCGCATCTGTTTTGATCCAGTGCTCCTTATTATCAGATGAATCTTCACAGCCAAGTATAAACTGGAGTGGATTTGGTTGGATCTTATATTGTGGCATGTTTTCCTTTGCCATTGCTCTTTTGGGATGTATCATTATTATATCTTCCTTTGGATTGTGGCCTCCCTCATTCATTGTTTTCTTCTTGTTCTCATTCTTTTGGTATTTATCACACTTTTGTGCAGCAGTTGAATTTTCAGGGTGAACTTTCCTGTGAAACATGTGGAGAATCTGCAAGGCAACAGAGAGAAGAAGAGGTTTATAAAAATATTTATAATTATGCATAATAATAAAATTAAAAATGAGCGTACCTTATGCAGTTTTCTGTCTGCTGTAGCAGAATCAACGGTGGATGTGGTAGAGCTTCGTGAAGAAGTGTGATTGAGCATTATTTTCTTGAGTTTCTTTTTGATGGATTTATCTGGAGCGTCCCTCTTATCATCCTTTGCACCAAAACTCTCCTCGGCCAATTTGGTTTTCTGGAAGAGCTCACCGAGAGATGTCCTGTGCTCCTTCTTTGCCACTGTTGTTGTCGTTTCGGACAATTCAATTGCTGATCCAAACAGATATCCCTGAAGAGGACAAACTGTAGTAGCAGTAGCATCAGCTTCCAACGCCTTTCCGCTGAGAGTTATTATGCTTCCGTGGCTGCTTCTCCCATTGCTAACATGGCTGTTTCTCCCACACGACTCGTCATCCGCTCCCAGCACCAGCACCTTCTCCAGCTCATCGTTTATCAGCTTCAGTTCGTTCTCCGTCACTTCCTCTTCCTTCTCCGTTATATTCTCAACGGAGATGCCAAATGCTGGCGTTGCTGATGGATCCGAACCAGAACCAAGAGTTCCGATTGCCAGGAACCCGTGGAACAGCTCGTACATACCACCCGATGCTTCATCTTCATACTCATCGTCCAAAGACTTTCTTAGGTTCTGCTCTTTCTGATTCTGATGTTTGTAATTCCCAAAGTTTCCTTTCGGATCATCATCGCAACAATTCCCTGACACAAAGATAAATTAGATAATTAATGCTTATCATCTTCATCTTGTGCATATTTTTGCTATATAATATATAACTTTATTACCTATGACCAAGTCTTTGAACGGTTCAGAGCTATTCTGCCGAAATTTTCTATGCATCCACCCAAGCAACTGCAGCAAAGATATGTTAGAAGAGTATGCATATTCGACCCAATTATTGCTTCTGCAAGACACTTCATCTTACCTTCATCCTTTGATATTGTTACTCGCTTTGATTGCCTGACTTGTGATCCAGGAAAAACTGTATTTCATAAGATCTTAATGCACACAACTGCTTGTTATTTTATGTGTGTGGGAGATAAATTGAAAGGAGAAAAACATAGAGATACTTACAAACATTGTTTGTTATTCTATGTCAACATTCAAATAACCTAATGGCTAGTGGGTCCTAAATTAAACAATGTTAATCCGAACATGTGCAAGGTCGACATAACTGTGAGGCTCACAATTTATATCCATGATTTGGTATTTTCAATTTCTGGATCAGTCCGGTCATGGTTTGGTAAGTGGCATGTTGTATATTAGCAGACCTGGAATTTAACGTGTTCCACTCCCATGCATTTCATCTTGCGATTGGATACCTAAACTTAGATGTGGGGGCCCGGGGCCGAGTAAAATAAACTATAAGGTGAAAAAACAAACAATTTTAGTTAATTGACAGTCTCCGCTATATCCTTCAGACACACAACTAAGAACAGCCTCTGCCCCTGCAGCTTGACGCAACTGGTTACCCACTAAAAACATTATATAATTAGGAACCTTAAACTGTTTCATGGATGTATCTATGCATAATGTATCTAACTCTTCACATTCTACATAAAAGTATTACACTTGTTAGTTGTAAAACTTTAACGGCAAATGTCAATTCTTTTTTTCTCAATCTCGACATGTTTTAATAACTCTAAATATATTATTTAAAAATATAAAATAAATATTGACTATATGATTTATAAACTAGAAATGTTGATTTTTCTAAAATTATATATATATATATATATATATATGTATATATAACT